CTATATGTAAAATTATAAAAGATCTTTTTTATTTTTTTTTTAAGTTGCTAAAAAATATAGAATATATTATATTAAAATTATTTTAGACCTGTGGATCAATAGTGCAGTGGATGTACTCCCAGGTTACTATTCGTGAATAACTGGTTCAATCCCACCTAGGAACAGTTCTCGCAATATAGGTTATATTGTACAAGATGCATGCTCATCACTACATGCACTCTTGTACTTACAAATAACCTATAGAATTCTACCATCCAACCATGGTGTAAAAACTCAGGTCATTTAAGCCTTGGCTGGTTTTAGCGTTAAAGAAAATCATTGATAAATCTGCTGTCTGGAATATGTAAGGATCCAAGACAAGCCAGGAAAAAGTGCTAATTGTTTCAAGTTTCTTAACGGAAATGGGAAGAACATCTATCTCTTGTAAAACTACATCCTATGGAAGATAAGGGAGACTTCAGTCATTTGCACCTGTCAAAAACGTAATGGGCCATAACACAATTAATGAGAGACCTCAATAGATTGTGAAACTAACGGTTACCAAAGAGGACAGCTATTGCAGAGGCTGGTGGTTAGCATTAGTGCCATATTGGGAAACCTGCAGGGGTAGACCTGGGAGAAGAAATTCAGAAACAATCATCAAGATAATCAATTTAATGGGAGGAGCAATCCATTATAAAGTAATCAAGGAATACCCCTGCAAGGCCAACTTGCAAGAGTAGTTAAAAATGAGGCAATAAAAAGCTATATGCTGCCCAATGATGTAACATCATTGAATCACCTGAATGTCAAGATCATGACCAGAGGACTAAGTTATCCAAGCTTCGACTAGCCTGTAAAAAGGACCCAAACACGGTAGAGATCATCCCTGGTACTCACTATCATATAAAACATGATAAGCAAACCCACTAAGGAATATAACACAAGCCCCCTGAAGATTAATAAAAATGGAAATGTCACTAGTAGATCCTCGGAACACTATAGTTCCAAGCAGAACAGGGCAATTGACGAAAATAATACCACTATGTGATAAAATTGGCGGACTTGGTTAGGATAAGTAGTTTAAGAAGATTATATGAATTGCTCATGTAATCTAAAAATATACTACTGATTCCTCAATAAAGATTCGTCCTGTCAGTTGGACATATTAAAAAAAAAAATCTATTTTTTATAAAAGGTTGTTTTACTAATTTTTGATATTTTGATAATAATATTATTTATAATAGTATATATTTCTGATATTACTATAGTTTCTTCTTTGAATTTAATTTCTCTTTGTTGCAACAATTGTTAAAAGATCCATAATTTTGAGTACTTATTATATGTTTTTGAAAGTTTAACTAATATATTAACTATACTCCCTTTTTTTTTATCTATTATTTATAATATAAATCAAGTTTTATTTATATTTATTATTGTATGGATATTATATTATTTGTATTAAATATAATAAGTTTCATGTTGTTATATAACTATTGTTTATTTAGATATAGAAAGTAAAATTCTTTCTATTAATTCTCTATTTCAATGCTTTTTCCTTCACAATTATTAAAAATATCCATTATCAACTTAGCAATAAAAAAATAATCTTATGTTCATACTAAGTCCAACCCTATATCAAGGAAAAAAATATTTACGATCTCAAATCAGTCTGGCATACTATATGGGCAAACTTAAAATATTTATTCAACAATATTCAAGAACTTTTAGATTTTTTTCAAATGCAACACAACCAATTTCCCAAATAATAATTATACTATTTCTCACAATCATATAATCAACTACTATATATTTATATCACAACTTAAGTAGCAACAACTTTCAGTCATAAAGTCTGATCTTATACTTACATATATATTATATCTCAACTTTTGGACCATTTTTTGACTAGTTCTTTATTAAACTCTTATTGACATCTCACAGTTATCAATGATAAATATATATCTAAATACACTCCTCAACACAAAAGTCCCAAAATATATTAATAGACAAATCAAAGTCATCTTTAGCAAGATTATTAATAAATGTAATATTATTATAGTAGTGAAAAATCTTATCATTCTATGGCATAAACTGAGAGACCAACAACCATCTCCTGATATCTCTTTTATATTAATATCTCAATTCTCCAATGCTTCCCCTTAACATTCTCAACCTCGCCATTAATTAATAATACACATGTAACTAGCATAACAGATTGGATCAAATTTATAAACTATTATATCAACTTATTTGACATATTTCTTAGCAAGTCAGCTACCTATAAACCCTTGTCCTTCGCAAATCTAAAGATTATTATTAAAGCTAACAATAAACTTAGTAGTATTGATCAATTCAAATACAGAGTCCTATCCATCTTCAGATCCAAACTTTTGGTTAACCAACTTCCAACTAAAGTCAAGCTTTATAAGTGAAACCCAGATCATTATTCTGATGACATCTGCCCTAGGTGTAATACAGCTCCAGAGGATTTATCACATATCTTTTCTTGTTCTTATAACAAATATCTACCCAATAAAAAGAAACCAAAAATTGAAAACCTTATTCTAGATCTCAATTCAAAACATGTAAAATCTACTGACTTTATTAATACCTTTATATTAACAGAAAATACTTTACTTAACTTAATTACTTGCAAATCCAATTCCTCATTTAATCTTCTTCAAAAAAAAGATATTATTTCTAATTATATACTTAAAGTTCTCTACAAGGTCTGGAAACAGTACTCTGCTATAGCAACAACTTCATCAGTTATTAGAATAAAGTGAAAAAAAATAAATAGTTCTAAATCTCTAAATTCAAGCACAAACAACAACACTATATTCGACATTATTGTAATCTTGTTAAGTAACTCACACAATTACAGTATATCTATAAATCAATTTTCACTTCAGTAATAATATCATTGTTTTGAATAGGCATTGACCATTCAACACTATTGACATGAGTCCACCTTTAAGGTATTAATTGGTATCAATAGATTTGTTACGATAGGCTATAATTAATTTATAATTGTAAAGATTGTTATTGTAATAATAGTAAATACTCTTATTTAAATAAAGTCTTGCATTTAATGCTTATTTGCAATAAAAAAAAATTTTTTTTTAATTATATTGTATAAATCTATGCTGATTCTCTAATCATATACAAAAAAAATATTCATATGATGTTTTATATCTCTTTGCTAATAAAATTTTTATACATTCATTAAAACAACTTGAAACTTGTCTTCACTTATCTCTCCTATCCTCCTTTATTTGTTTATAAACTCCTTTGAATAAAAACTTGAATCTCTAGTGACTTAAAAAAACTCAAATATGTATTTTCTTTATTAAGGATAAGAAGATTCTAGAAAGTAAAAGAACTGACAAGTGGAATGTTACTTTACAGAGCTGGAAGTAACAAGAAATAGAGGTTTTGTTGATAAGAGAAGACTTATCATTTATCTTTTCACATACTATTTTTTACTTTTTTAAAATATCTACTGTTTTTTATAGTTTTCTTAGGAAATTTTATTACTTCAATTTGATCTTGAATTTCTAGTAGCACAATATCATCTAATATCTGATTGGCTAATATGAAACATGTCAATAGCTGAATATAAACAAATTCCTATTGATCATCTCATGTATTCTAATAATATTATTGGTAATTGAAAAAATTGATTGGTATTTTATATCTGTTTTAATCTTTCAATTGAGTTAATCTACAGATCAAGTTCTATAAGGTCAATAAGATATAAGCAACAAGTTCCTAGATAATAAAAAAGCTATTATTTGCTTAAGCTGAAATCTTTTTCTTTTATTATTCCAGTTAGGCAAAGTTTAAGATCAAGATCTTTTTTTTATTCTGGTTAGGCAATAGACTGAATGGTCTCTAATCCATGTTAAGCTTTAATCCTTTAATTATAGTTAAAAATATATTTCCTCAGAAGTTGTTAAAGAATATCACAATTGATAAGGATTTTTATTACTCTCAAGACCCTTACATCATTACAAGGCAAAAGAATTATTGGGAAATCTAATCTTTTGAATAATAGAAGATATATACCAATAAAATTTCTTTAACTAGGCATGGCTACTGGAAAGTATTATATTGAAATAACATGATCCAGTTTCTACTAGATTATATAAGAATCTGGGATCCATTATAAGTTATCTTTTTATCACAAATGGATAAAAAATCACTGCTTAAAGAAGGTTGGAATCAAGAATATCCTAAAAATAAAGGTTTTTACTAGATAATAAATCTCTTTAGACAGTACATAAGAAGAAAATCAAGATTAAGAATAGATAAGTTCATTAGATGGTTAGGAAAAGAAAAAATATTCCAATTGGACATTTTTTATTAAGAAAAGATCTTGAAAAGCAGGTCTTTGAAGAAAGCTGAAAATTTTTTTTTCATTTTCTTGTTATCTATTAAACATTTTTAGATATTCCCTTTCCCTTTTTTTTCAATCCATCCTTTTGTAGTTTCCTGTATTTCAGTGACTTGATAAGACATATGGCAGTAACAACCTGCTAGAAATGATGCAGTGGACTAGAAGGGTTTTTACCCAAAGACACTGTGGAGTGAAATATTGTTCTCAAGGTTGAATTCAGAGGTTTTTATGTTTACAACAAGTTAGTTAGATTAGAATAATAGTTTAGTTGTAATATGAATGTACTTATGTTTTCAATTGATTAATAAACCAACGATCTAGCCTGGCTACGGGTACTCAAAAAAAATATATATACTGTATAAACCTGTTAATAAAATTAAATACAAACTTATTTATCCGCATATTAAAAAAAGAAACGTCACGTATATGTATTTCACGTGACCACATGGGAATTAAACTTCCGTGGCGACTAATTCTAACTGACATTAAAGATCATCCGTGTACAGTACATAAATAATAGTAATGGTGGCTAACCATTTTACTCGATTTTTTGCTGTGAACGAACTCCAAAAATTTCATATTAATGGTTCATGCTACTCAAACAACTACAGTTATCACTATGAAGGCCAAAAAACAGGGAGGAAAGAAAGCAATAAAGTCCATAGGTACATCAGTAATTCCCCAACCGCTAACGCAACACCAGCAACACGCTCAACCTCAACAACCGTCCCATGCTTTAAGTAGCCAGAGTTCCTTGTCCATATCTCGTAATAAACATTGGAAATATATTTCTTCTTACCATGGTCCATGGCTTCAACTTCCTTTGGAACTTCTCGAATCTCTCTATGTGATCAATAACGATAGTGTGGCAACTCCTCCTCCTCCTATCGATCCTATCATTTTTGGTAACTTGATATCGATTCGTCGTTTAGTTGATGAGGCAGCTGATTTATCTGTCAGAGCCGCTTCCGGCATATCAACTACTGGAGGTGGGCCTACGAGGAGCTCGATGTCCCACACGCGACAACATAGGATGCGCGAGCTGGCGGTTAATAAACTGGCGCTTGCATATCGAATTGATGAAATAGCCACTGCAGTAGTAACCATGCAATCAGCCAGCGCGATTGATGAAGTTGCTAGCAGAGTCTTGAAGAAAAATGCTACAAATTTGGAAGCGTTGTACGTGAATTTTTTTCACGAAAAAATTCCATCGAGGTAAATATAATTTAAAATGTCAACCTAGGTATTATAATATATATATATATATATATATATGTATGTATATATTTCGTAACGTACGTCAAATAGATAATATAAATTGAAAGTAGTGTTACAACAGATTGTCGCAATTATGTGGCTTTATACGGAGGATGTGGAGTTCCCTCAGAGTTTGGCCCAACCTAATACTTTGCACAACTTTTTATCTACCATAAGTAGAATGCTATCGCAATCTACGTCTACCGATATACTTGATCAGATTATTGCGACTTCTCCGACGACCCCAGAGTTTTATCGCACTCGTGGTGTTGTAAAGTGTTTCAAAGAAGAATTCGCGGGAGCCCTCCGTGATTTTAAATCGGCACTAGCACATGCGAAACATCGAAAACGTGTGAGCAATGTTTTTTTGGGAAAAAAACCAACCTTACCCCTTCACAATCACCATGGTAATGAAGATGACGAATGTACGGGTACCGAAAGTCAATTATATTTTTTACGTGCCGCATGCTACCTGCAATATGCGATCAGTTTGGTTGACAAGGCGATTCAGAAAGTTGATGGCGTAGAGCGTAGAGATGGTGAAGGTAGTGAATTAAGATTAGTTGCAGTTAAAAAAGGTATCATCAATGGATCTTCTCCAAAATTCGAAGAGTATCGTAAAGAACTCTTTCCGATAATGTACCAGGTACAGAATTTGGCAAAACGCTCGGTAAGAGATTATACTCATTTCTTGGGTTTCTACCCTAGCTCTTTACCTACATTTTCAGCTACAAATGGTGAGGGCACATCAAAAGCAAGTACTCCTGTCACTTCTAGAGATTCTTCTCCTGTCAGATCATTTAAAGATAGAGATGATAGTTCATGTCAGGCTAGTTTAACTGAATATCACGGTGACACTGATCGAAATTGTAAGATACCTGAGAAAGTTACAGGAGTTGCAACAGACATAGGAAATGTTTATGCAAATGGCCCGGCTACCATGTCTAAAGATAATAATCATCGCAATAATAATTATCATCACCATTTTCACGGATATCAACCTTCTCATACATTTGCGACTTATCACCCACTCCTCATAGAAGCGTGGTATGCTATAGCGCTCAATTACGTTCTTCTAGGAGATCTTCACACTGGCGCGTTGTGGCACGCAAGGATTTCCGAGATGCATGAATTCATCGAGGGCTACCCAGTATTTCTTCCTGCACGTTCAATGGCGCAGGCGGATTATATGGAGGTTTTAGAGCGAATCAAGAAATCGAATAGTCTTTCTCAACACGAGAAACTGAAAGAATTTGTAGAAGTCGTGAAGCAAAAAGAGAAGGAAAGGGAAGAAAAAGAACGAGAGTGGGTTGAAAAACATCATCACAAGATGCTTTTAACGGCAGCAGAAAATGAAAGTAAAGATACGGTCGACCTTAAGAGAATTGGTGTAAAGATTGGAAAAAAATCAAAGAGCGTTACGCAAAGTAAGAATGGTAACGCAGTTACTCCTGTTATTGGAATTGATGGTCAGAGACATCATCCTTGTTGCCCTCTCGCTCCTGGAAATCATGTATCTCCAAAAGATCGAAATCATAACCACAATCATTCTCCCTCTTCAGGTTCATCAGATGCATCCTCCAACAGTACCGGTGCAAATGGTAGTGGAAATTCGGGAGGACCAAGGCAATACCCTTTACACACACAAAGGGCTGACTCCGTCATGATGTGGTTAAGGGCCGTCATTCTTAGAACGGAAAAGGAATCTGACGCAAAGATAAACGAGGAGACAAAGCCGGTTGACACGAAAGTGGGCAAGAAGAAACCAAATGAAACAGAGGAAAATGGTGAATACAACTCCTCGGAGGCGAATGCACCGGAAACAAATGAGTCGAACGAAATATAACTCAACTTTTGATGATTACATTGCTCTTAACGAATGTGGTGAGTTTTTTACTATAAAGTTTTTTTTATTACTGTTTTAATATGAAAGAATGATGACTATAACAAAAAAAAAAAAAAATTTAGTATAATATTGAACATGGATAAAGATACTTTGGTGTGTTGCAATGTATTCAGTAACGTTTATATTCGATTCCATTTAGAACTTGTTATAAATTCAAGCTCTTATTACACAATTGTATATTTTCTTATTATTATATTTTTTATTTTGTTTTATTTGAAAGGTACAAGTATAACTCAATAATGTGCGATATTTTAATGCTGTATGTTAATTACAAAAAAAAAAAAAAAAAAAAAAAAATGAAAAAAAAAAAAGATTTTTTTTTTTTAAATTGAATTAAAGAATGTAATTAACTCTTATCAAACATTTCAATCATTTCTTTTGCTGATAGGCATTTCTCCTACTACGCGTTATGTCTTTATAATTTAGGCGGACGTTAAATTTATTCACTTTTTTCTTGTTATGATAGGTAAGTAAATAATTCCCTCCATTTTACTCGTACTAAAATAATTTTTTAGGGTTCCGTATTGGGTTGGTCGGGCTCTTCATAAAAAAAACAATAGTACAATAGTTGGTAGAGTATATCTTTCGATTTCAATTCAATACGGAATCGGTAAAAGTATATACATACTATAATTTAATTCGCCCAAACAAAAAAAAAATCTTTCAGATAATACAACCAATTTCTCAATAATTCTTTATTTATTAATGGCTGAATAAAAATACACGAATTATTCATTAAATTTTATGTTGTACTTATTGATTTATTTTGAATGATTAATATTAAATTTATAATTTTAAAAAGATTATATTATTATATAAATATATATGGATTTTTTTTTTAAAAAAAATCACAAATACAAGTTCATTATTAAAAATAAATTATATATTTGATAAATAATTAAATCCTCTAGCATGATATCAATTATCTTATATATGATATATATTTTTATATTATGGGTAGATTAATGATAGCTTATTACAATTTATTTTAAATAAAGTATATGAATCAAATCTAGTTATCAATAGTATAATATAACCATATATAGTATTGAGCCAACAAATTATTTATATTTCTTATTATTTTAAATCAATTAATATATATTTAATAAAAATTTATAGATATTATTTACTCAAATCTTGAAAAAAATATATTATTTTCTTTATTATTTTCTATAATATTAAATCAATTTTTGTAAATTAATTTTTATTTAAATATATTATTAAATTGAAATATCAAAGCTAGAAAAATTGAAAATTTAAAGTTTACTAAGATAAGAAAAATTAGAATATTTGAGATTAATTAAATTTGAAATTTTTTCTTATGTAATTCTTTTAATAATACAATTATAAATCTTAATTTCTTAATTAATAGAAAGTTAAAAGTTTTATTTCTATATAATTTAACTAGTTTAAATACAATTTTTTAAATAATTAGATATAATTTTTATAGACTATTTAATGAATTTAATAAAAAAATAGTTTATTAATTTCTATATAATCTTAAACTTAAAATTTTATAATTAATAATTTAAAAGTATTAATTATCAATAATTTTTTTTTTTTTTTTTAATTTTAATCACAACTGGTATTAGATGCAAGCTTTATTAAAGAATTAACTTAATTTTGACGAATAATTAAATTCTATAGCAGTTACATCAATCATCTTCTATAAGCCATATATTTCTATATTTATGCAGCTTAATGATAACCTATCGTGATTTGTCCTAGATAGACCTGCAACCACTCTGTGAGTGGACAGACCTAGCTAAGGGCCCGATGGTCAAATAATAATTATTAATAAATTATAAATACTTTTGAATCTTTAATTACACAATTTCGAGTAAATAAATTTGATATAAAATTTTTATTATATATTTAACAAATTTTAATATATAATATATTAAAATTTTATATTATTTAACTTATTAATACAAAGGCTATATAAAAAACTTTATTAATTTTATTTTTAATATTAATATAAAAATTAATTTTAACTTTTAATTTTTAATTTTTTTTAATTTTAATTTATATATATAGTATTTTAATATTTTATAGATTTTTTTTTAATTTTAATATACAATAGGAGACAAAAAAAATTGCTCAAATTTTTTAAAAAATCAAAAAATTTTTATTATAATTTAGAATTTATTTATTTATTTATTTATTTTTTTAAACCCGCAATCATGCCACAATGGCGTATCTTTATTGAAATATTGAGAAATACCTAAATATTTTACAGACTTTCACAAAGCGACTAACTCGTCATTGTACATTATTAGTTAAAGGACTACACTA